ACAAAATGTCCAGATATACAACCTACGGACTTATGTACCAGTTAGTTGAACTGAATGAAAGATTGCTATATAACGATTGATTGGTTTTGTTTTTGATTGATTTGCAAACATTGTCCTCAGAAATAGCGGATATATGTGCATATAGGAGCACGATGTGATGAATCGGAAAAGGGAGGAAACCCTCATTGGTTAAAGATCTCTTAGGTTATGCGTACTGAGAGCCGGAACTTTAATTCCTGGAGGCGAAAGACACTACAAGCCTGAACAAGTTAAGCTTGATATTGTGCCGGGTGACAGCGGTGCATACCACCAAAGCGGAATAGGCGGCGGCGAACCTTAAAGATGGAAAATTACGGACCGATGTGTGCCAATTAGAAAACCAGTCAATCCGCCCGATCATGGCAATGGGTAAATGAAAATTGCGCTGATAAGCGGAGGTAGCCGCATGTGAACGAACTCTGAATGTATTGAAAGGCTAATCTTGAATGCCGGTCACTGGTATGTATATTACCGGACAACCATAAACAGTGATCTTCAAGGGTAAAAACGTACTTCGGGGAAATTTTCTTTCTCGTCATGGAATCCCACTGAGGTATTGGATTTACGAGAGGAATGCTTATGCCCAGGAGGGCCAGCATATGGAGAACTTGTTGCTGTTGGGTGTGGTCGTGCGGTAACCGGGGACTTTGTCAGGCGACTGGGGATGACGGTTCCGTTGGCCCACAATCGATTTGGATCTGTGTAGACCAGACGATCGATTTCATCATCATCATCATCGGGCATTCTGTGTTGATGAGGGTTTGTCTGGTTGTCTTCATCGTCATCGTCGTGCCAGATGACCGCAGAAGTCGAATCCAAACGTTTGGAATCGCTGGACTCAGTGCTGAGGGTGGCGGGTTGAGCACAATCTCCAGAACTAGAAAGCGATACGTTGACTGCGAGTGATGTGTCTCGATGCACATCACTAGCAAAGTTGTCCGAATAATTCGGGACAGCACTGCTATCGACAGTAGCTGTAAAAAAACAAGAATAAATATCCGATGAGTCAAACAATGATTGTGCGGAGTGAAACAAGGAGGGCGAAAGCAACCAAATTACACGGATCCTATACAAATGAAAATCGGGCTTAAATGAACTTTATATAATGCACTGAAAGTAAACATAATACCACGTTTAATGGAAAACCACCAGTGAACAAAGATGAGGTGCCAAGTCGTTTGTTTATTGATTACAGAAGTGTGCGAACAACTTTCGGAGGGGACCGCGGCCAGACAAAGGCAGCCTGTGAAAATACAGATAAAATAAGGATGGCTAATGGTGGCGGGGTTTGAACTCAGGAGGCCTAGGTGGTTATTTGGACGACCTTAACAATCGACCACCGCCTTCAATTTCATTGGTATGATTTATGTATATGTCACCGTCCATGGATTCCCGAAGGACGCACGACTCAAAATTCCAGACAGGACTGTAAAACCATGCAGCGCAAAACTGTGGGTGAGTGATGCTAGTTGATACAGATTGATTNGATATTCAGAGCATGATAAACCTTCCTGAGAAATATATTTAGTAAACAAAGTCATGAGTGGCAGCTACAAAACAAATCGAAAAAAAACGAAGCTACATAAAAAATAAAGGAAATTTGACTTTAAAAATTGAACAAAGGGGTTTCATTTTACTTTTTCCGATGAGATTCAAACATGCAACTGGTGGAAGAGATTACAGAGAAATTTGTCTTGTGCTCGTTGTTGACCAGAGCAATAATAATGTGGCATGCATTATATTTTACTGAGTACAAATAGCAGTTCCGATTGATGAGCCCTTCGATTGGCTGCACTACACTTACATGCCCTCTGTCATACTGTTGGAATTTTCACATTTTCACTCAATATCGTGTATCGTCGCTACTCACGGTATTACATTGTTTGTTTCAAACGTGCGAGGACATCTCTTGATGGTTCATCTGCTTGTGCAACCCCAGTTTCTCACCGTCCATGTTAGACCAAAAAGTGCAAGCAAGCAGAATGGCAAGTTGCCCCTAATTACACCCCTTTGGCCAAGAGGACTGTTACCTAATTGGTCAGCACTAACACCCGGTTCATGTTTCCTAAAATGTCGGATTTAACTAGTGTCCTGCGATCAAGAATTCATATGAAAATTTGTGCAGTCTGTGTGCAAGAATCCTGATTGAATACGAATATAGATGACACCTTAGTGTCCATAGACGATTTTCAAGTTTACCGACGGGATCGTGGAACCGGAGGAAGAAAAGACTGGGGCGGATGTTGTGAAATGTCGTTTCCTGGTGTGGCAAGTCCCATGTTATTTTTCAATACTTCTCGAAATGTATTGAGCGCCTAACCGTACAATGTCATCCAAGATTTTTCCGTTTTGCTCACACAGTTTCGCTAGCTTGTATATAGCACCTTACTATACACAACCAGATCGTATGTCATTCTTTGACTCGTTCATACCTGTTGTTGTCCCATTTTTAGATGTCAACATGCATATAATCGTTGGTGACTTTAACCATAGAAGTACTTATCCTCTTTTACCATTTGGTGTGACAGATCTTCACCACACTCCCACAGGAGGTAATTCTATACCGGACAGTAATCACCAACCACTAAACCCTTCTCCCTTAGCATTAAAAGCACCCAGTTCCTCCAGCGACCACTGCTTACTCTTAGTTCGACCTAACGTTTATACACACTGTGCATACAAATCTTTCTCTCAATCTGATCACATCGGATTTCGCTTTCGCAACTTCTCACCTACAAACGTTTCTCTTCTCAATGACTCCCTCAGATTTTTATCCCCTCCTTCCTGTCTATTCACGTGTGCCCCCCTATTCACCCAAACAATAAATGCCATCAATAATTACTGCTGCCCTGTTAAAAGTCTATTTGTATCCATCAAAAGGTTAACCTCTCTCGTACTAAAGTCGCCGCGACGCCATAAGAAGATGCATATAAGTCTCACAATGGTTCAGCTGTCAAGCACTTATCCAGGCTTATCAGCGCTGAAGTAAATAGACTAAACTCATTATTCTCCTATCTAATTCTGAGGACTGGAAACAGCAAACCACTGTGACAAGGTATTAAATTGCTCTGTGGAAGGAGGAAAGTACGGTCGAAGCTGGGTGTTAATGTTGATAATCTTAATGCGGCATTCCCGCGTCAGTCATCGGACATTCTTCCTGTCTACTCGTCATATAATGTTTGTAATGTGGGACCACAATCAAATTGTGACGTGTTAAAAATTTTGAATAGCTGCAATTCGTCTTCTGCTGCAGGTCCGGATGATTTACCTCTAGCCCTCTTCAACTACGGTGCTGCTTACCTAGCTGGGGCAATCGCCTACATTGCAAATGAATCTCTTAACACTTCCACTATCCCCGACTGTTGGAGGCCGGTCACAATCGTACCAATCCCCAAAGTATCCAAATCTTCTATCCTCACTATGCGTTTTGGCCCCAGAGCGTTAGCATTTTCAGCGTTTAAGTTGACTGAAAAGACTATCCTCAAACGCTTTCAGCAGTCTATAAACATTCTCAGTGATACTATACAGTTCGTTAACAAGCTTAATAGATCCACTTTAAACGCAATCTTCATCCTATTTTATTTTATTACTGTCTTTGAACAACTGTTAAGTCTGTTTGGTGTGCTTTTCTTGACTACCCATCAGCATTTGATTCCATTCTTGATCAAAGTTGTTACAAAAACAGGAATCACTTGAATGTCTCAAGCTTGGCTGTCAAATCATTCCGCTGATAGAGTGTAAATCACTACATTGAGGAGAGCTTCATCTAAACGCTTAGACAACAACTCTGAAGTTTTTCAAGGAGCCATGCTATCTCCATACTAATTTTCCACATTTGTGATATTGCTTATGATTCTCCTGAACGTGTTTTGAAATATGCAGATGATGTTATGCTGTGCCAACTCAGTTCTTCTTACTCCGATCTAAGCCCCTTCACCGACAATATTGGTCAAATTCAGTCATTCTCCTCCGTAAAGGGACTGAACTTAAATACCAGTAAACGTATAGTTATTTCTACCAGTGTGCTTTCTCCATCTAACTTTATTGTTCTCCAGTTATTTTCCTGGCTTACTCAAACAGAATTTCAGTCTTATGCCATGGTCTAATTAGTATCAGTCGCGTTTCTTCTATTCCCGTAAATGAGTTAGCTGTGAAACTTGCGTATTATTATAGAACTTCCTATGTGAAATTTGTGGGAGATTCTAACAGACCTTGAGCATCCATTGCACGCAGAACTGACACATTGTCGTTCCCATCACTCCAGATGCCCTCGATTTCGCCAAATTTCATGACGAATAAACTGAAATTCACCCATACCTTATTTTACACATTTACTCACAAACAAAGAGGGTAACAAGTGAACTTTGTTTGTAACTTGGATTACGAAATATTACCATGTCTGTAAACATTTTCCCCGTTGAATATGTTCTCTGTGACAGTTGACGTCCATAGCTTTTTAACTGAACTGTAAGCTTCAATGCTAGCAAAAGTTGCACACCATACAATATCATCATCACTCGGTAACCGGTGCTCGGAAAATGACAAAACTTGTGTCCGTCACCGACACCATAACTTTTGGATGACATGCATCTTCCGATACCGCTTAAACAGATGTCTTACGGAGTATCAGAAGCCTTCGGAGCAAGGAGCTTATCCGACTGACGGAATAAGATTATGGATTATGAAATCCAGTACTCTTCTGTCCTCTTTAACACTCGGAGCGGAGCCGTTTGGGTGCAGAACATTTAAAAGGACCTTTCGTTGTGGAAATGATCATGTTCTATATCGCTCAGAGATCGGTAACCTGACAGCCAGTTGAACAAGTCCCTTGCTTCGAAGGTTCCTCCTTATAATCCGTAAGATACTGCTCATGTTATAACAGGATACTTTAGGTTTATATCGGGCATTCTTGAATTGAAAAAGTGAAAGTAAGCTCCAGATCAGAACTGAAGTTCGAAGTTGAAAGAAGTCAAACAGACGGTATGATTCAACAGAGGATCAAGAAATCACTGATGAGACTAGTCTGGAGGTAACATGCTGCCATCCTCATGTCATTCTGCTCACTCATATGGAAGTATTTGTCTTGTGAGGAATAAACACAAACAACGCGTGTACGCTCCATATCAGCGATTTAGCAAACACACCGACTTTGAGTCTTAGCAAAACGAAACCGCACTAATAGTGTGGTTAAAAGTCAGAGTGGCCCAAAACCAGATCTATCGCAGTTTAAATATTCCTCACAGATGGGTTTCGACTATCAAGTGTAAAAAGAGTCGGCCAGTGTTGATACCGGGAATAAATACTTGATGGACGCTAGAAAACACTGATTCACCCTCTTAAATGAGACTTTTGCTGAATCGTTAATCAAACTGTGGACAAAACCATTCACTACTATGACTAAAGCATGAGACGAAACGGCGAAAATCAATGAAGCGTTTTTCTATGTAAAAGGCCAAATGAGTAGAATAATCGATCAGGCCACAGAAAAAACTACAAATATTTTTTTGCGGAGATTGTCAACAGTACGCAGTGGTAGTATGTTGGTGAGAATAATCCGATAGAAAACAAATAGTTGAGATCAAATGCACGATCAACTAACTTAAATGTGTTATAACCCGACCTGACCAACTCGTCGTCGATAACAAACAACCGCAGAATAAAGGGTGATAGTGTGTGGGCGGCCTAAATCGTTGCCGTCGGCACACATTGATGAGAAAATTTAGTGGTGTTACATGTTTGAACAGAAACCATACCACAATCCCTCACTGAGACTGCCAGTGGTGGTTGTTATCGGCGTGTTCCTGGTCTTCAATTCTGAGATTCGAACCCTGCAACTGACACCCAACTTTGGTGGAAGACAGATTCAATATTATCCGTTTCAATACCGCGTCTATTTTACTGCGGTTCAATGCAGTTTGCTAACACCTTCGGCTTAAGTTAGCGGTTCTTATAACCGAACGGTAGATCCTTTACTATGGGGGTTACCCCTTCCATTGTTCATCACACAATAGTGTGCATTAGAGAAATAAACATCCGTATTTCAATAAGTGGTGAGCACAAAACTAGGGTAAATGTATCGGTGATGTATCTTGTTATCTGGACCAAGTGATTAGTGGTGAGTACAGACAGACAACTAATTTAGAGGGGAGAATTCGATCGTTTGAGATTCTAGACTAGATAAACAGGAACTTTGGTGCACAGAGATGTGTCTACTTATGATAGTATTGATAATCTAGGGTAGGACGTAGGGCTAAACCGGTTTTAGGGTTGCGCGATGCAAAGTTGGACTGGTGGCACAAAAATGGGTGGAACAACGGATGCATGCAAGCACACGCGCATGCACAGACAGCTGATTTAAACTTAAAAAACGGCCTACGGCAGGACTGGGAATCAAAGAAAATGGAACACGACCCGAAACCGGGACAGAATGGCACAAACGAAGGGACGATAGAGGTAGTTGAACGGACAGACAAAATGGCCTTCTGAAATCGGTTGATCACGTGCCAATGTCTGGGATGAACCGCGATACCTGGGGCGGAGAAAACTCGCCACTGCTATCGCTCACATCATACAGTGCAGAAAAGTTGAGCAGCGCGTTTGTAAACCTACTAAATTTCTAAAATTTTCAAAATAAAAAGCCGAATAATACGGGGCTGAAGAACCACCCGGAAGCTTTGGTGATCAAAGTAGTGCGGTTAAATAGACCTATGACGGATAAAGGAAGGCAAAATCAGCATGAAATTACTCTACGTAAACAGGACATCGGAGGATATAAGTAACCTTTCAGACTCTAGTTCAACAGAGCTGATAATTTTCTCACCACAGCAAACTGCAACATACATGAGCAATCAGGTATGATGTGAACAGTTGCATGCCTGGAATGCGGGCAAGAGCAAGTGTGAGCTGATTATATTTTTCTGTTTCAACCAATGAGAAGAAAGACAGCAAAATAAG